ATAATATTCTTTCTGATCAAACTTTTGCATTGTATATAGAACTTGCAGAAGTTAAAAAACTGTGAGGCTAGGCGTGTGCACTCCGTTGCTCTGAGAGCTATGCTATACACACGACAAAAATGGACGACTCATAGACGATGTTTAAAATCCGGCCACACATGCGTGCATACATCAGGCACCAGCCGTTGAATTTCTGTGTCGTGCATGCGTCGGCCAGGAGAATCGTGCATGAAGCAATTTCGTTGCTCTGATCCTAACACCATCCTTATTAATATTCTTTATGATCAATCTTCTGGATTGTCTATAGAGCTTGCAGAAGTTAAAAAAGAGTCGGGCTAGGTGTGTGCACTCCGTTGCTCTGCTCCTGACATCCTCCATCACACCCATCTTAATATGTCAAAATGTTGCCTATTAACTGATTCATGAAGTCATACACCGAGGTGGGCAAATACATTACATACATGTGCTTCCTTTCACTCTATTAATAGTTTGATCTTGATTTTTCATCTTTGGACACATTTCTTCGTGCCTGCTGCATCTCGCCTATTTGGAGAAGGCATGGAAAATTATTATTGCACCCTATTTTTTCCACGATGGTTTTTTCTTACAATTATGTATTCCTAGCAGAATGTGGCTTATCCAAGAAGAAGAGTTAACATAAGCTAAGATTAGTGCTTTGAATTTTAAATAATTGCTTCCTGTTAGTGCCATGGTTGAATGTTAACATCTTGCAATATATTGATCCGCCATTGGTTTCATAACTGAATGTAATATTAGTTAGAATCCATGCAGCTTAGTGAATATTTCAAAAGCAACTCACATCCAATTAACACTGATGGCCAAAGATAGTTATCATGTCTGGTGTGGCAAAGGTGACCCATTCATTATCTGTGTGTGAGACAACATAACTGAGGTGGGACTTTTTTCTATTGATTTGTTTACAGATTTCACCAGTGTAGTTGCTCAATGCTTTAGGATACGTTGTGCTTCACAACTGGAACTTGCTTCTGTTAGTTTTACTGTAAAATTATTGTTCCACTTAGTGTTTGTTTGAGGAATTGTTTCCCTTACTTTTGCTATAATACATCCATATAATATATAGGATTGCTACTGTTAAGTCCATTCCACATTATTCTTTTGTTATACGTAGTTGCAAACTTAAAGATGGCCGTTATGTGGTCAATGCACTTCCAAACTTCCAATATAATTTTGGTGGTTAGTTGTATCGATTCTAAATTTCTAACCGAAGCTTTTGTTCTTTTGTAATTAACAAAAACTTTCACATTGATGAGCATAATTCTTCAATTAAGCTATAGGGATCAGGACAAATGTAACACTGAGGCACATTTACAAGACTTATTTATTGGGATGTTTGGTGTCATTTCCTTTCTCTTTGAGACTTATTATGCATGCGATTTGTTTTGCATCCACGCCCATCCATGAGGCACGTAAAAATGGTTTTATGTATATTATTCTGTGTTACTCAATATATTCTCTGTAATTTTTTTGCATGTGATTATATAAATATGTGTTTATGTATTCCCGCAGCAACGCGTCGGGGTATCATCTAGTAGTTACAAAATAGAAGGCATCCTGGAGTTTAATAAAACCTTTGATAATTTTGCATTGGGACATGCTAATGGATTAAGATGACAACATCGAGCACCTTATCATGGAGGAGGTCGCACATGTCGATACAAATTTGACCATACAGAGGAACACGATCGATGTACCAGAGGTAGGAAATAATGTCGACGAAGAGGATGAAAATCTTGCCAAGGCAAATACTGCATCACAGGAAAATGTTATTGCCGAAGTTAAGAGCATCTCCAGCCGTTCGGCCCCCAGGGCGACGAAAAATAACGGCCTGGGGGCGAGCCGACGCTAGTTCGGCCCCTGGGGTTCGGTTCGTTCCCAGTCGCACGCTCACGGTGGTCGCTGCGGGTTCGGCGAAGTTCGCCTTATTTTTTTTTAAACTGGGCGACTTTTGCATGAACTCTACCATTTTTTGTTCAAATTTGTACAAAAGCGTAAAACATGCGTGAGCTAACTTAAAAACGAACTTATTAAAACGCCTAGCTAGTGCCGCCACCGTCACCACCGCCGCCTTCTACATGCCGACAAGCCTGTAGAAGCGGGTGTAGTCGTCATCGTCGTCGTCATCGCGCGCCTCGCCCGCGGCATCCCTGCTGCACCCCTCGCCCGGGTCACCGACAGCGCATGACGGCCCGGCCTCGACCTCGTCGTCGCTGTCGATGACGATAACGCCGCCTTCCTCGGCGCGGCGACGGGCCTCGGCGCGGCTGCGGGCCTGGGTCTCCAGGTAAGCCCGACGCTGTTGGCGCACCTGCTCGCGGACGTAGTCCTCCCTCGCCCATTTGAGGGCGGACTCGTCGTCGGGTGCCACCATGCCGGCGTGCTCCGGCTTCACGGGGGTCGTGTCCGGCTCGGGCTTCAGCCGGACAAGGCGAAGGGAGCGCCTCGTCGGTGTCGTCGCAGGCAACGGCTCGTTGATGACGAGGATGCCGCTCCGTGCGCGACGCCCGAGCGGTGTCTCCTCCGACTCGGGCTTGACGGGGCGGACGGCCGGCGAGCCGGAGCCCGACGAGGAGGACGACCCCGGCTCCATTCGCCGCGGTATCCAGAAACTACCGCGGCGGCGAAAGAAGGAGGGGCGCGCCGGGTACTCCAGCCGCGGCACATTCCGGTCTTGATGTGGTCGAGAGCGGCATCGAGTGTGCGGCCGGGGACGCCCCACCACTCGCGCCATCCTTCGGAGTTGAGGCGGCCGCGGGGGATGACGCCGTTGGTGGAGGCGATCTGCTCCTCGCGGCGGGCCTGAAAGTACAACGTCCACATCGTTTCGCTGTCGGGCGCGTACCTCGGCTCGTTCCGCTGCTCCTCCGTCAGCGACGAGCGTATGCGAGCGATCTCCGCCCGTCGTGCGGCTCCTTCGGGGACGGGCGGCACCAGGACGCCGCCGGCGCTCAACCGCCACGCCCCCGACACGCGCATGTCGTGCGGCGCCGGGTACTCTGCCTCGTACAGAAGGAGCGCCTTCGGCTCCTGGAGGTGTCGGCGGCCGAAGCCGTTCGCCGCTGTGTCGTCACCTGTGTATGTTTCGGCCATTTCGCTCGTCGGCGGTGGAAGAAGAAGGCTTTCGCGGGAGGGAGAAGAGTGTGGTGCTCACCGGCGGGGAGGGGCGCCTTTTTATAGCCGAAGCGGGGTGGCGGTAGGCGGCATGCGGGCGGACGCGCGTCGGCGGCGTCTTCACTGCGCCGTCCGTGAGCATCAATGGAGGCTGACCGGCGCGGCAGCGCGGCAGTCCGGCAGCCTTTGCATTGATTCCTGCGGGAACCGAGGTGATGGGGTCGACGAAACAGCCGTCTCGCTGACGCGGTTGGTCCGCGGCTGCTTCGCGCCAAAACGCTCGCCCCGACGCCCCCGGGCGCCACCCGGCGCTTCGGGTTCGGCCTGGGTCCACCGGCGCTGATTTCGGCCCAAGCCGACGAAAAACGGGCACCTGGGGGCGCGGTTGGGCCGATTTTTCGGCGCCGACGGAAAGAAAACGCCTGGAAAGGCTGTTCTGGGGACGCGGCTGGAGATGCTCTAAACGTAGTGTTGCTCGTTCCAGCACCGCTCGTGCCGAGGAAGATAACATGCCACACTGCCCTCCACAAGAGCCAGTCCACGACCCGAAAATGACAATTAGGAATATTTACCAGCAATTTCCTCTTACTAAATGTGCACTTTACGGCAGTTTCGGCCTCATGCGCCATTCGACGCAATATGCCAGCTGGTTGTAGAAACGGGAGGAGATGCCTGCAAAGTTGGGATATGGCCAGAGCATTGGGTTGATAGGCACATAGATCCATACATCTCGTGCAAGGTTTTCTATGAAAAGTGAAGAGGCCGGTGATGTGTGTGGCACGCATACGAACGTACACGGGTAGGCAAGATAACCTGGAAAGCAAATAATAAAAGTAAGCAACAGAAGGTTTATCTCCGGAAAGAAGTCATTGGCGTGCAAGGTTTTCATTGAAGAAAATAGAGAAGTACGTATGTGCATGAAGAGCGTGCCTCGAAGCTTACCGGTCCCGCGCATGCATTCGGGGATTCAGCTGCGGCTGGGCGCGTGTCCCCTCTCCCGCTGGTAACCGTTCCAATGGCGCCATCGTTTTGTGGGAGATAGAGATTAATCATCTTGTGTTGCATGTGTGCATAATGCAGGAGCAACGTGCTCCTGGATGTAGCTGACACCCGCATACACCACCTCGCGCCCGACATGGTGAATTATCTTTCCATGTATTGCTAGATTAGGCTAACTATGGACAATTGTACCATCCATCCAGTGACCGGGGACATTGAAAACATAAATCGTTTTGCGTAAACATGCATCAGCTTCAGTATATGGTAATTTTTTTCTTCTAAAAAATATAGTATGTGGTAAATACATAAGGGTGAAATGTATAGTACATATAGTTCACACTTGATACATCTCAATTAAACGCCATATAAATTAGAACAATAGCAGGGCTACGTATGCACACGCAGCTAGTAGATACATACAAATGTGGGTGTCTATTTGCTTTACATAACAAAGCTGGGCGGCAACAGCAACAGAACATGCATGTAGATCGGACGAGAAGGTGGGTAGAGGACCGCATACGCATACGCTAACAAGAATGAAAACAAAACCAATTGTGCAATCTTGCATGGCCATGGCCTAGAAAGGCTCGAGAGACCCGTCACCTGTCATCACCAGGGTGAGGCCCTGACAATAGGACAAGCAGAGCACAGTTGTAAAGACGAGGAAGCTATCTCTATCCATCCATTGCCAGTAGGAACACAATTAAACAAAGGCACAAAAATGTCGATGCTTCTTTGGCAAGCGCCTTGCCAGTACACGCTTTCACTCCTATTTAAGCGCCTCCCCTGATGTATCTAGCTCATTAAATTCCTTCCATAGTTGCATACAGCGATCACATAGAGCCTCCGCCATGGCAGACCACCTTCAAGTTCAGCAGCAACAACAACAGTTAGAGCTTCCACCGGGGTTCAGGTTCCACCCTACTGATGAGGAGATCATCACTTCCTACCTTGCCCCTAAGATTCTCAACCCAGCGTTCAACGCCACAGCGATCGGTGAGGTGGACCTGAATAAGAACGAGCCATGGGAGCTTCCCAACAAGGCCAAGATGGGGGAGAATGAGTGGTACTTTTACTGCCAGAAGGACCGCAAGTACCCCACCGGGATACGAACCAACCGGGCCACGAAGGCCGGCTACTGGAAGGCCACGGGTAAGGACAAAGAGATCGTCAACCCACATTGCATGTCCATGCTCATGGGCATGAAGAAGACATTGGTGTTCTACAAGGGCAGAGCTCCCAGCGGGGAGAAGACCAACTGGGTCATGCACGAGTACAGGCTCGAGATCAGCAAGCAGTCAACATCCGGCCTGCCCACCACCATCGCAAATGCCGCTTCCAATAACGTGTCTTCTAAGGTATTTAAACCTACAGTATGGTAGTACGTAGTCATGAATCATGAGCATGGTCGTCCGTCCATACATATGCACATACCTAGCTATTGACCATAATTTATTTGCACTGATTCAGTTTATGTACATTGGTAGGAGTATGTGGTTTGCAGGATCTTCCATAAGAACACTGGAAGTGGGGTGTCATCCATGGTGTCACATGAGGACGTTGGGACCGGTCCTGGCAACAACGACCAGGGCAACGGCGGTGCAACAACCACCGACAAGATCTTGTCGATGAGCATGCGTACAGGTGGGGCATGTTGAAGTACTAATAATCAGATGATCCAAGAAAACATATATGTGTGTCTGTGCATTAATTAATCATCCATCAGAAGATCGGTCGATATATACCAACATCTATATTGGTTTGCACCGCATTTTATTTTTCAGTGTGATTCCAAGAGAGTTTGCATGCGCTGGCTCGTCTGGCTTGCCTCTCTTGTGCTAGTGTTGTGTGTATTTGTATCCGCTTGTACATGCACCACATAACTGGTGTATATCTAGCTACATTTGCATTGTAAACTTCCTAGGAGTGTACACCATGCATGTTTTAAACCTATATAGAATGTACTATTTTGTTAAATTGTGAATGCTTGACTGAATGCATTATCGTGAATTTGATTACATATGTTTATTTTATTTGGAAACAAATTTTGGGCATGCACCAACCTAGAGGGACTTCCATCCACCACATAAACTCTTACATACACTCTCAAAATTTAACAAATGTATTGGATAAACTTATTTTTAGAAACAACACACACACACACACACACACACACACACAAGACCACATGCACACACATCGTATTCCTATGAGAACCTCCGATAATTTGAGCCGACAAGATGCGAACCCACCTATGTAAGTGATGAAATATCATTGATCTTTCGAAATGTATACTTTCTTAATTAGGTGCCGTAATCAACGAGAATAAGATGGCTGAGATGGAATGAAATGCAAAAAACATATCATTCTCTTATTATGATAACATGACAAACATAAATATAGGATATCATGATTGGTCTAAGCATGTCTGAAACAATTTATTGGGTCACGCATTGACGTCAGTAATAGCCATAAATAATAGAGGGTTTCATGGTTGAGCATAATGTGTATGTTTTTCTTACAGTACAAACTTAGCAACAATATTGATCCATTTGCATGTTATGGCCTAATTTTGGTTAGCAGAAACTAATGGGACAACATTTATTTTCTCACAAACCACACAAAAGAATTGGACACGGGATCGATAAGTGGCGGAATTATGATCGAGCCAAGCTGGGCAGTGACATGTATAGTCCAGGAGAAAACAAAGGAGCCCAACTGATCTGCCGAACTAACCTAGCCAAATTACTTTTTGTGTTCTCTATCAGCCTGGCCCGCCTAACAATCTGACCGCGGCTCCTCCTGAATGTCGAACACATATCATTTTATTATTACTCCTAGGGAAGCCTGTTAAAGTAGGACATGGAGTTTCTTAGCCCAAGCTCATATGAGCTCAGACAAACAGTAAAATCAGGAAAAAATGTAAAACAATTGAAAAAATTATCAATTTTTTTAGTGACGTACATTTACAAAAGATTTTTAATGATTGCAAAATTTCATCGTGAAATGACATTTGTCGAAGCCCTGGCTAAAAAAACAATTGATGCTCCAAAAATATCATTTCCAATAGCATTTTGGAATGATGATTTTTTTCCACCGCTTCAACCAACATTATTTCACGATGAAATTTTACAATCATTCAAGACTTTTGTCACGAAAAAAATTCAGGAATTTTTTATTATTTTCAATATTTCTCGATTTTACTGTTCACCAGAGCTCATTTGACCTTGAGACTAGAAGTGTATTTTTGGTTAAAGTATTCATTTGTTCATAGTTGTTTACATCCTAACTAATTAGGATTGTAAAAAAAATATGGGTTCAAGATTTTGGGAGAAGCTAGGGAAAGCCCCGATTCTTAAGATTCTGGGAGAATCAGCGAAAAGATCTGGGCGTAATAGGAAAGTAACTTTGATATCCTACTAAATATCTATAGTATGATTCGGTTAGGGATCTCTCAAATTCATCTTGTTTACCAAGGCATGTAATGCCTATATATTGGGAATACAAGGCTGCCCGTAAAGTGCCGTGATTTTGCACAATCCTATAATCTTTTTTGGTAAGATTACGTATGACCCTGCCTCCTCTCCCAAGCAACTCGCTACCTGACCTGATCGTTGCTGCCACGCCATGTCCGCCGCACCTGACACCAGCCCTGCCTCACCTCCCCATCCCTCTCCGCCACCATGAACTCCACCTCCGGAGCCATCATCTCGGCCGCCATGCCCGTTGCTGCTTCTTCGGCGGTCAACATGGCCAGCGTTCGCACCCACGTCCCCGTCACCCTGGACCTCCACACCAACAACTTCACCAAGTGGAGCATGCTGATCCGTGTGCTCCTCGGCAAGTACGACCTATTCTACCACGTCAACGCCATCATTGAGGCGGAACGCACCCCGGACTGGACTCGCGAGGACTACATCGTCGATTGGTAGCTCTATGGGTCAATCTCCCATGAGATCCTCGACATCATCATGGTGTAGGACCAGACGGCTCTGTAGGCTTGGATGCTCATGACCAACCTCTTCCTTGACAATCAGATGACCTGCGACATCTATCTAGAGGTGGAATTTCACGGTCTCGTCCAAGGCAACCTATCCATCACCGCCTACTACCATTGTCTTAAGGCGCTCCATGATGCCCTTAGTGACGTCGGCAACCCCGTCTCCGACCAGACGCTCGTCCTCAACTGCGTTTGTGGGCTCAGCCCGCTCTTTTCCGACATCACGACCATTGTCATCATGTAGAACCCTCTCCCGTCCTTCAGCCAGAAGAGATCCATGCGCACTCTATGGCAGCGTGTCCTCCCATGGCACTAGAGGCTCCAACTATTCTGGTCACCACCGCGGCTTGGACTCGGCACAGAAACAACACCGACGGAGGCGCCTCTGGTGGCAACTGCAACAACGACAACTTCCAGCACAGGGCAACCTCCTCAATTGGCTCTTGGGTTTGTTTCAACCCCTACACGTGCCAAGCCTAGTAGCTCCAGGCACTGCCAATGATGTGGCACAACACCGAGCTGGCCTCCTGGGCTGTGGCCTCCAGTGCTACCGCCGGCCAAGACTTCTTCTCCCTCGCCCTGCTGCAAGGCCGGGTGTTTGGCACCAACCATCTATTGACTTCCGCCTACAGCGGCACACCGGCATGGGACTGCCCCGTGCTCCTGGCTGCCATGAACAACGATGCAACTCCATCGACTGTCGGTGAGTTGGTCATGGACTTTGGAGCCACAACACATATTGCCTCTCACCCCAGAATGCTTCAAAATCTCAGCCCCTCTTCTTCCTCCATTGTCACCGCTGGCAATGGTACTACCTTCCCATCTCTCACGCCGGCCAAACTTCTACATTGCTTCCTCTCGTTCTCTTATTCTTGAAAATGTCTTAGTAGTTCCGCATATTGTCAAGAATTTACTTTTCGTTCATCGTTTCACCAAACATAACCTTTGTTCAATTGAGTTTGACCAGTTTGGCTTTTTTGTGAAGGACCATCGCACCAAGGTTGTGATTCTTTGCTACAATAGTCTGGAGACCTCTATATCTTCCCAAGTTCAGTCATCAACCACCACGCCCATGGACTCCTTGCCACCACCTCCAATTAGCTTTGGCATCGCCGCCTAGGTCACTCGAGACACCACGCCATGTCCCAACTTCATAAGAACTATTTTATCTCATTTAATAAAGCGGCCTCACAGGTTTGTCACCTTTGTCCACTTGGCAAACATGTGTGCTTGCCCTTCGCTAGGTATACTTCAATAAGCGTCGAACCATTTGAGTTGATGCATTCTGATCTTTGGACTTCCCCGATTTTGTGGAATACCGGCTTCAGTTATGATCTCAGTATTGTTGACGATTTTTATCACTTCATGTGGACTTTCCCTCTTCGCCCAAAATTCAACACTTCTGCCATTCTATTTGACTTTGTTTCTTACATCCGCACATAATTCTCAAGCCCTCTCATTGCCATGCAAACGACAACGGGACCGAGTTTATCAAATCTACGGTCACCACATTCTTATCAACCCACAACATCCGCCTCCCCCTCTCATGCCCATACACGTCTGCCCAAAACGGCAACGCCGAACATGGCATCCGCACGATTAATGATGTTGCCCATACTCTTCTTTTCCGGTCATCCATGCCACCCTCTTACTGGGTCGAAGCCCTTGCCACAACAACATATATATCTTGTCAACATACATCCATCCCAATCGATTGGTTTTTCGGTGCCTTAGATATTCCTCTACGACTCCCCACCCAACTACGCCGCCCTCCATATGCTTTCGGTCGCCCATGTTATACCAACCAATCCTCTATGGCCAAACACAAACTCGTACCACGGTCCAGAGCTTGTGCCTTTTTAGGCTACCCGAACAACCACAAATGCTATCATTGTCTTGATCTTTCTACCCGTCACGTCATCATATCTCGTCATGTGGTCTGCGACAAAGCGATCTTTCCCTTCTCCTACTCAATAGACCGCCCCGCCGACCCTATTGCCGCGCTTGACTTTCTCCTCGACTTTGCCACCACGCAGCCCACACCAAACTCCTCCACGCACCATGCATGCCCACCCACAATGCGCCATGCATGGCAACCCTGCACCTCCCTCCCCATCTGCCCATAGCTCTCGCTTGCTCCTCCTGCACGCCCGCAACCCAGCAAACCCCAGTTCTTCTACACGCCCGCAATCTGCTATGCATGTGAACCACAACCCTCTATGCATGGCGGATCCCCAGCTCCCTCAACGTCGGCCCGGCAAAGAACACCCCCCTCGACCCAATCTCTGCTCTCTCGCGCATAGCTCCTGTCTCCCCGTAGCCTCGCCTAGACCGACGCCCTCACCTCTCTCTATGTCCAGCAACACGTCCCCGTCAGATGTTATCCACCGGCCACCATCCCTGTCCAACAACCACAACATGGTCACTCGTGCTAATAGTGGTCTTTTTAGCCCGTTGACCGTCTCAATCTTACCGCTTCTCATTCCACTCCCTCTCTTATTCCCAAAACGTACCGGGGTGCTCTACATGACCCGCACTAGCTCCATGCTATGAACGAGGAATTTGATGCTGTTGTCACTAAGAGGACGTGGTCTCTTGTTCCACGTCCTCCTCATGCTCGTGTTATTTCAGGAAGTGGATCTTCAAGCACAACTTTCA